GCTTGTTCTGAAAGCCCGCCTTTTATTGCGAGAGTCAAATCTACATTTATCAGCAAAGCTGAAACGTTAAAGGGATTACAAGGAGCTTAGAATCCACTGGCGGTTCATTGATCTGGTCTTGCAAGCCTCATCTCCATATGCCCTTTAGAAATGGCTTTAGTCTGTTCCCTGGTTTTTTGGTTGTCTTTGATTTTTTAGCACCATTCTCACCCAGGTTGGAGGGGATGTTTCTTCCAGCCCTGAATCCGAAAGGTTCTCAGAAATCTTTCTTCTAAAATTAAGAGAAGCTACTTGCATATTCCTCTACGAGTGGTATAGAAGAACATTTTCTGTAAGTGGACAGATAGTAAATGTTTCTGGCTTTATAAACTGTACACTCTCTCAAGTACTCAACTCTATCATTGTAGCTCAAAGACAGCCACAGACAATACATTAACACAGGGGAGTGACTTTGTTCAGATAAGTTTATGGGCATTGAAACCTGATTTTCAAAAGAATCTGCATATGTCATGAAATAGCATTCTTTTGATTTTTTTCTAACCATCAAAAGATGTTAAAACCATGCATGGCTTCTGAGTCATACCAAATAGGCAAAGGGTCTGATGTGACCAGCAGGACCTAGTTTGCCAACTCTTATTCAGAGTATGGTCCCTGGACCAGCAGCATCAGTATCACCCAGGAGCTTGTAAAAAATGCATCTTAGTTCCCCGCCCTGGAGCCTGCTGAATCAGAATCTGCATTTGGACAGGATCCCCTGGTGATTCACATGCCAGCCAAGTCTGAGAAGTCCTAGTCCAGAACACAGAATTTTGAAGTCAGAGATGCTTGGAATAGCACTGACTGGGGACTGCAGAACCTCAGGCAAGCTGTGAAACCTGAGACTCACTTTCCTTATATATTAGAAGGGGTATAAATAATTGCACCCAGCTCCAAGGACTGTTACAAGATTGGGAGGATGAGAAAGTAGGTCCCCGAAAGCAACTGGAATGTTGGTGACCACAATGAGCCAAGACTACACCCATCGAACGGAGACCATTCATGTGTTGCCAGTTACCGCCACACAGGAACGTCGGCCCCGTGTTACCACAGCTTGGGATTCTTCAAGAGAAGCTGGAACCCTGGCTGTTAATGTTAGAAAAAGTCCCTCGTTTAATGCACTGTGCAGACCAAACAGAACCCACATGCAGGCTGGGTGTGAGCCGAGGGCTTCCAGTCTGTGACCTCTTCCTTAGAATAGAGAAGGGAAGACAAGGGAAGACAGTCACAGAGAAAGCAGGCTGGGTGTTAAGAGACAAATCTGAGCTTCATTCTCGGTAGCCAGGAGACCTTGGGCCAATGACGGAACCACTCTGAGCCTCAGTCTCCTCGTCAGGAACAGTATCACATCCACCTCACAGGCTTTGGTGAGATGCGACAGAAATGTATGTTCAAAGAGGGAGACACACTTTTGGACAGAGTAAGCATACAGCCTGGTCACTGCTGACGTTGCTTTGGTATCACTATTACTCTCTCTATTCCTCAGTGCCGAGGCACTCAAAGCGCAAATCTTCACTTTCAAAATGGCTACTTCCCCCTCCCTGCTCAAACTAGGTACAAACAACCAAGTCCAATTAAGCCCCGCTCGGAGAGCTGTCTCATGGCAGAGTACACTAAGTGCCTAGTTATTAATGATTTTCTCCTGGCCACAGTCCACAAAGACGCCTTAATCTTCCCCTGAAAGAGAACTCCTTCAGCAGCCCTGTCCCTGTGGGATTTGCCCTGGGCTGCCGTGAGGGGCTGCTTTTTATTTGGGGGGCGGCCAGGTCATCTGCAGGGAGCAGTGCCCACCTTTGCTCCCCAACTGCCCTACGTTGTCGGGCGCTTTGGCTGACAGTTACGATCACTCTCTTCTCCAAGGCCTAGAAATTCTTGTGGTTAATATTTTTTTTTTTAGAATTCCTAAAAATCCCCTCATTTGCCACCAAATGGTGTGGGTGACGCTATAACTGATGAAGGAGCATGATCCCTCAGGAAAATCTCCATAAAATATAACAGACTTCCACAGAACCTGAGGCAACTTTAGCACATGCAGGAGTCCCAGAGGGCAGAGAGCGAGCTGGGGTAAGCAGTGTCAGGTGCTGTAATTCAGCTTTCCTCCATCTTTACCAGCACGTGAATCAGCTGGGGACCCTGTTAAGGCCTGAAGCCAGATTCGTTAGGTCCAGGGCAGGGCCCGAGACTCAGAATTTCTAACAAGCTCCCATGAGATGCGGACACTGGTGGTTCTTGCCCCAGGTTGAACCAACAGAACCCTCCTCCTTTGCTTCATCTCAATGTCTGTGCAAATGTCACCTCCTCAGAGAGTCCTCTCCAGACCACCTTATCTAAAATGTAATTATTTGTTGAACAAGGGCAGGAACCCTGTCTGTCCTGTTCGCTGTATCCCCAGCACCTGTCGAGAGCCTGGCACAAAGCAGGCCCTCAAATGTTTGTTCAGAGGCGAGATCCCAGCGTGAGATCTGAGGACAATGAAACTCAGGGAGCCTGAGTCTTCTGCCCAAGGTCACACAGCTTGGCAAAACCAGAGCAAGGCCACAGCCCAGCTCCCTCCGACTTCAAAGCCCCAGCACGCCAGAAAGGAAAGCAAAGTTTGTTTACAACTCGCTTCCTCCCTAGAACTTCGGTGTTGAAGGCAGGAACACAAGTCTGTTCTGCTTGATGGAGATGCCTGCTGTGTGGACAATGCCGGGGAGGGGACCACGTGGAAGCCAAGAGAAGAGATGAGGTCCAGGAGTGGCATTGCTTAGGATGTCGTGGTGCTTTGGAACAAGGCAAATTCACTCTCCATGAAACAGACCAAAGGCAGTCTTTCCGCCTTGTGTCAGTCCTTTCCTCCTATCCAGATGTGACTGTCTCTCCCAGGAGCTCAGAGGTCCCCCAAGTCAGAGCACTGGAAAAGGAGCATGCCAGGGATTTCTAACTGCCAAAAAAGAATCTTGTGCCATAACCCAGAAATGGTTCTCCCTCCTCTCCAAAAGGTCACCAAAGAGCATGCCCATGAGGGAAAAGGAAGGGGCAAAAAGCAAAAAGCTGTTTCCTTTCCAGCCATGAGTGGAAATGCCATAAAAACCCCATTCATGGAGGCTTTCGGCTGCTGGTGGGGAACTGCTTGGGCATGAAAACCCATCCCAGCCTCATGAAAGGCTCCCTTTCCAAAAGAAAGGCTCCATAATGGGCTGAAAATAAAACACTTGTTCTCCCCTCACCGAACCCGCTGGGTTGACATCGCTGAAGGCTCTGCAAGATGCAGAGGCCCTGACAATCTGAAGTGACCAGAGGATCCCACAGACTCTAGTGAGCTCTTTATGCTTCCTCCCAGGTACTAGCTGAGAGGAAGCTCAAAATAACTGCAGAAGTAGCTAAGATTTATCGTGCACCTGGTATGGGGCAAACAATGTATTTTCGATATCTGGCTTAATCCCTACAATAAAGCTGTGAGGAAAGTACCATTATGATGCCCATTTGACAGGACAGGAAAACTGAGACCCAGGGAGAGTGACTGGCTGGAGGTCAGATTGGCCAGCAGGGGACTCTGGCCACACCCCTACACTGTACCGCTGCCCTACAGGTCTCTGATCACAAGTTGAGTCACTAAAGGCTCCAGAGTAGGGGAGGAGCCAGAAGTCACTCTCCTGTTCATCACTCTGCCTTCCCACCCCCAGTGGAGCAAAGGATGCATCAAACAGGAAGTGACCAGTAGTGCTGTCACACTGGATTTGCCTGACAAAATCGGGCTTACATGTATTCCCGCATATCGCCCTTTCACATTTGGGCCACACCAGGGGTCAGTCCAGAGCCACCTACTGGGACTACATCAGCAGGACTGATGGATGCCTATGTCTGCCCGTTACATATTTATAAGGTCGCCCGGCCTTGCCTCCGACACAGAAGTTATTAAAGGCTCGGGAGCCATAAGGGCTGCGCTCAGTGCCCTGAAACAAAGGCAAAGAGGCTGCCAGCCCATCAGAGGCGAGAACAAAAGCATTCAATCTCTGAAGGAGCTGGCGGGGAGACTTTTTAGAACTGGGTGCCCAGCACACATGACCAATTGGGAAAAAGGAGAGAAGCAGGGACAGAGTGGGAGAAAACGAAACAAAACAAATCGAAGCAGGCTTTCTCCCGAGTGCCCAGAAACAGCCTTCTTCAAAGGGACGTGAGGGAGCGGGCAGTAGGGGCCGGGGGTAAGGGGGTGAGGGAGGGGGGTGCATTAAGCCAAGAGAGAATGGGTCACAGTGCTCAAGAATTTTGTCCTGTCACCAGTTTTGCCTTTTCATGAAGTTGCCAAGAAGAACCTATCTCTTCTCTTCGTATTACCAAACAGAGCCTGTCAGCCTGCACCCTAACTTTTCCCAGCCAGAGCCTCAGCAGCCAGATGTACTGGGAGGGCACCCAGATTCCTTGTCCCCCAAACATAATCATTCCAATCCAGGCTGGGGCTGCCTGGAAGTCAACATTCACGGCACATTAATAAGAAACATCTGGCCACCGAAGAGGGTTGACACAGCACAGGCGGGCAGTGGTGGGTTTGCGGTTAGGACCCAGAGTTACAGAGGCTGAATTAAAAACACAATTGGAAAACACCAGCTAGTCCCAGGAATCCTACATATGCAGTACTGTGGCACTTGGAAAAACTGTCCTGCCTAAGTCGAATCATTTGGGACAGAGTGACTTAGACACAGAGGGTGGTACCAGAGACCCCAAACTATCACATCAAGGAAATGCAGCCAGAGCCGGGCCCTCCTGCATCCACAGTGTCTGGCCACCACTTCCACCTTCAATATTTGTAGCAGATGTAGTCCCTCTCTTAAAGGAACAGCCTTTGCATTCTTTCCATGTGACTTCAAGTGCATTTAAAAGGCGAAAAATGCACGTGTGTGCATATATACACATATGTGGATTTATCTGTGTAGCCTCCCCCTGCAGTGGTGCTGTCTCCAGGAATCCCACGTAAGGGGTCCTACCTCCATTTATGCAAGGCAAACCCTGGGCACTGGTCACCACAGGCGTTACATGGCTGGCCTCTCTCGATCCGCCCCAGTCCGGTCAACTTCAAAACAAAAAGACAACACAAGCATGTTTCCACCACCGGGCTTCCTCCAGAGCCCCACTTGTGTCCCAGGCAGGACGGCCTGCCTTTCTCACCCCATCTCCTCTGATTCTACTTCAAAGCTCCTCTCCGCGTTGGGAGATTTGGGGCAGGCGCTGCAGGGCCCCAGGGGTGGTCTCCCGCCTGGGAACGGCTGTGAGGACCCAGTTCGGGCTGCCTCTGGCGTGGGCACCAAGGCACTAAGAAATGGCCCTGGCTGGGGCTTTGTCTCCCCTAGACACCTTGGTCATGGGTTTCTAAGAAACAAAAGCAAGACCTTTCCGCTCCCCGGAGTCCCCGAGAGGCGACCACTGCGTGCTCTCCTTGAACCAGGCTGATGCTCCCGGGAAGGGAGCAGCACGGGACACCCCCCCCAAACCGCCCCAAAGTCAGGTTCGCGGCTAGAGATCCAAAAGGCTGGACGCTAGGGCTTGGGTACGGGGATTCCGACCTGCCTGAAGGGCAGGAGCAAAGGAGGTGGCTTCCCTGGGCGCCCCCGGACTGTGACATTCAGGGTCACGGTTCCCAGCCCGGCTCTTCCCGCGATTGGGGATCCGGACTTTACGCCTTCAGCCCCTACGAGCGCTCCCGCGCGCCCGGGCCGCACCCCCGCTCGCGGGGCCGGCTTACCTGGGGCCACAGGTGCGCGGCCGCGGGGCGGAGGGCGCCTGCTCAGAGGCGCTCGCGGCGGGACGGGGCACCCGGAGACTGGCCCCGCTCGGGCGGGGGACACTCACCGAGCGGCTGGAGAGCCTTTTCCGGGAGCTCCGGCTGAACATGGCCGGGCGCCTCCTGCGCGCAGCGCCGACCGTTCGTCCGTCCGCACCGCGGCCGCGAGGGCGGGTCGCCTGGGCGGGCACCCTCGGCGGCCGGTGGCCTGTCTCCGCCTCGCCGCCCCCGGCTGGCTCCGCGACGCACGCCTGGCCCTCCTCCCTCGCCCGTGCCTCTCGCCCTCCCGCCCGCAGGTCCCTCCCTCTCTCCCGGCATCCCCCCGCCCTCCCCGGGTTCGCCCCGCAGTCCACGGGCCCTTCCCATCCCTCCCGGCGCGCCCAGCTGTGCCTATTTTCTCCCCTTCCCGGCTTCCCGCCGACCCACCCGGGCCAACTCCCTTCCCTCACCTGGGCCCGCCTCCCCTCAAGGCTCTTCCCTCAACCTCGCCGCAGAAGTTAGGGGCAGGGGACACCTCCAGGTCCCTCTCTTGTAGCCGGGATATGGGGGGCGGCGGGGGGAAGTAGGGGTAGTTTTTAAAATTAAAATATAATTTCCCCACAGTAAAAATCACCCATCAGTGCAGAGTTCTGGCAGTTTTGATTAATTCACACAGACTTCCAACCACCAGCATAATCAAGATACAGAACAGTCCCATTACCCCCAAAATGGACTATTTAAAAAGTTTGTAATTTACATATAATCTACTTCGTATTTACTGAGTGTTGGTAGAGGAGGAGAAGGATGAAAAATGGCCCTATCTACTTCTCCTTCATTAAGTAATCACGGACAGGGCAAGCTTGAAACCCCAGCGCCCATGTGCACATTCTCTTGCTAGCTAACCTTCTTCCTGAGTTCTTCTTGCTTGTCTCCTTACCATCCTAAAGGAAATCAGTCCTGAATTGGAAGGACTGATGTTGAAGCTGAAACTCCAATACTTTGGCCACCTGATGCGAAGAGCTGACTCATTTGAAAAGACCCAGATGCTGGGAAACATTGAAGGCAGGAGGAGAAGAGGACGACAGAGAATGAGATGGTTGGATGGCATCACTGACTCAATGGACATGAGTTTGGGTAAATTCCGGGAGTTGGTGATGGACAGGGAGGAGGCCTGGCATTCTGGGCCATGGGGTCACAAGAGTCCGACACAACTGAGCCACTGAACTGAACTGAACCTTACCAACATACTTTTTTAAAAAAATGAAAGACAGCCTTCAGAATGGGAGAAAATAATAGCAAACAAAGTAACAGACAAAGGATTAATCTCAAAAATATACAAGCAACTCCTGCAGCTCAATTCCAGAAAAATAAATGACCCAATCAAAAAATGGGCCAAAGATCTAAACAGACATTTCTCCAAAGAAGACATACAGATGGCTAAGAAACACATGAAAAGATGCTCAACATCACTCATTATCAGAGAAATGCAAATCAAAACCTCAGTGAGGCACCAGTACACGCCAGTCAAAGTGGCTGCTATCCAAAAGTCTACAAGCAATAAATGCTGGAGAGGGTGTGGAGAAAAGGGAACCTTCTTACACCATTGGTGGGAATGCAAACTAGTACAGCCACTATGGAGAACAGTGTGGAGATTCCTTAAAAAACTGGAAATAGAACTGCCATATGACACAGCAATCCCACTCCTGGGCATACACACTGAGGAAACCAGATCTGAAAGAGACACGTGCACCCCAGTGTTCATCACAGCACTGTTTATAATAGCCAGGACATGGAAGCAACCTAGATGCCCATCAGCAGATGAATGGATAAGAAAGCTGTGGTACATATAGACCATGGAATATTACTCAGCCATTAAAAAGAATTCATTTGAATCAGTTCTAATGAGATGGATGAATCTGGAGCCCATTATACAGAGTGAAGTAAGCCAGAAAGATAAAGACCAATACAGTATACTAATGCATATATATGGAATTTAGAAAGATGGTAACGATAACCCTACATGCAAGACAGAAAAAGAGACACAGATGTACAGAACAGACTTTTGGACTCTATGGGAGAAGGTGAGGGTGGGATGATCTGAGAGAATAGCATTGAAACATATATATTATCAAGTGTGAAACAGATCACCAGCCCAGGTTGGATGCATGAGACAAGTGCTCAGGGCTGGTACACTGGGATGACCCAGAGGGATGGGATGGAGAGGGAGGTGGGAGGGGGGTTCAAGATGGGGAACACATGTAAATCCATGGCTGATTCATGTCAATGTATGGCAAAAACCACTACAATATTGTAAAGTAATTAGCCTCCAACTAATAAATGAAAAAAAAATAAAAATTAAAAAAAATTAAAAAAAAGGATACAACAAGAGTACTAACCTCACAGCATTGTTGAGAGAAATGAATTAAGACACCTAAAAGTTTTACATGTTACAACAGGAGCTAACTGAGGGCTCATTGAAAGATTTGCTATTAAAAAACAGAAGATTGCAAGCCATGTTGTCCACTTGGCGTGGATATTTCAGCTCAAATACCATCTCCCTTTGAGGCAGGAGATAGATGGGCCACAGGCTCAACAGTTTCTCCCCTGTGGACAGAAACTCCATAAAAGCAGGATGATGGAAGAGGCTGGACCATGCCCAGGTAAGAGATAAAAGACTACATATTCCTCACTCCTGAAGTTAAGGAGGCCTCCCTGATTACACATGCGCTGAAAGGCCCCTCAGAGGTCAGAAGGAAGGGGGCGTCACCTCATAGTAAGTGATGTGACTTCCCATAGGCCTCTTCACTAGAATCCAGCTTCACTAAGAGGCGCGCATGCCCACATGGGAGGATCCTGAGCTAAAACAAACAGACTCAGAACCAGGCAAATCAAAGTGATTGGCCAAAGGAAACCTGGAAGAAATGCCCCATAAACCTGATTCAGACTATCACAAGGGCGAGACTCTCTCTCAGCCCAGCCATGTGTCCAACCACACGTACTGTCCTTTAACTTATTTCACTACTTTCCATCTTTGTGGGAATTATTTTATGCAAAACTGAGGAGCTAGGGCCTTGTCACTGACTGTGGTTTAGTGGCTAGGATTCAGTACTCTGCCACGACCTGACCTCAACCCTGGATGTGGAACTGAAGCCCCACTTCAAGATGCTGCAGGTTGAGGCCATCCAAGATCACTTACAAGAGAACTTTCCTGACGCCCTATGGTGACATCTCTCACACACTCTCTCTCATTATGGCACGTAGCATACGATGAAATGATCTTGTTTACCTGTTTGTCAAAAGAAGACATTCTTGTCCATGTCAGAAAGATAACTCTTCCAGTTTAGTATTTTTCCAGGTTAGACATTGAACTTGAGTGAAGAAAAGCAGCTTGCCTGGGGTAATGTAGCAAACTAGTGGCTAAGCCAATCTACCTATACCCCAAATCCAAAACAATAGGATAACACAGCTTATATAGAGATATATATATATATATATATACCCTCTGTATGTGAGGTATGTATTAGCTGAAGGGCAAGGTTTGGTTTGAGTTCCAGGCCAGAACTAGTGTGAAGCTGGTGAGGTCTTTGCCTGAGGAGCAAAATTTATAGGAGCACCCACAAACTCAGTAATCAAGATTTTTAGGCAATAATTTAAGGAGTCAAAATCAATACAAAAAAGTCCATTATGAACAGAATGTCATTTTAAAGATAGGCTCCTACACTTCATGTACACATCCTTGTCTGAGTCACCTCACCCTAATCCTAGTCCTGGGAAAAATGCTTCAAAGATCAATCACCTCAACAGTCGACTCCTCTCTATGGCATTTTCTACTTACCCACCACCCGCCATCACCCATGGAGGGTATGCTTGCAGAGGGCAAACTTCATGGCTCATTCCTCTCTTTATTGCCCAGGCCTAGCATGGGTCTGGCCCATTGCAAATGCCTCACATTTGTTAACTGACGAAATAGAAGGCAGTAGGTTTGGTAGGGGTGGGGGCAGGGAGTGTGAGCAAATCAAAGCCCAGTTATAATCAGTACTAGCCCAGGACGCTCACCTGGCCTTCTCAGCGGGTCACCACACAGCCATCTCTGCCCTGCACTGCATGTGGCCTTGTAACTGGTGGAAGCAGGTCGGGAGGGCAGTGTTCATATGGCAGCTATGGCCCATTTGCACTTTAATTATAAAGATGTTTGGTGAAGGTCAGTGCAGTACAAGCTGCTAACAGATGGAGGGAATGATCTCCATTCAGAGGAACCAGCACCTTTTTCAAACTCCCTGGAAGGAACCATGGGGGCCGGGGCAGTACCACTGCCTCATGTCTTGCTCCTGAGTAGGTGTGGGTGGTGGAGGAGGCAATGCCCTGGGGACACATGGTTTGAGTTTTTCTGGACCTTGACTTTTGTTACTTAATCAAAGAGGAGGAAAGATGTACGTGGTCTCCACATGTTTATCAGAACACACCACATGCACAAGACCCAATCCCACTGTACAAAGAGGGTGCCGAGAGTGTTTGCTCTCCCACCTGCCATAAAAGCACCTCTTTGTGGATAGGTTCCCCTGGGTCCGTCTCTTCAGAGCAAGAACAAGTTTTCCCAGAACTTATTTATAATACACCAGAGGCTCACTTATGAGCGGCAGTATCTTACTTATCTATTCAACAACCACTTTATCTTGCTCAGGAAGATAAAGCTTAGTAACCCAGGAAGGAAAATGTACTCTCACTGGCAGCTATACATGAACAGTAGACAATTTTATTTTGCTTTATCACCGCATTTGCCCTTCACAGACATCTTTGATGTATGTTCCTTCTTCACCTCTCAAGGCAATACAATTACTAACAGAACTTGAAGAAATCATCCTCCAGAACTATGGACATGGGCAGATGCCTTTGCTATACTATGAAGCAGAAATACAAAACCAGTGTAAACTGTTGGGTTTTAACAAGTCTTAAAAGGCATGCATCAAGAAACTGGAAAGAAACACAAAATCTTACAAGGGATTGATGGTGAAATGATATTTTTTTTTCTTTTTGCCTTTTAAATGTGCATATGGCTCATTTTATAGTCAGAAATGTAAACTTACTTACCTAGATTGAGAATTGTGTCCTTGTGGTCTGAAGCCTTCTAACA